GGAAAATGTAGCATCTCTCAGCGTATCACATGCAGGAGAGGAAAGAAAGCATCTCTCAGCGTATCACACGCAGGAAAGGAAAGAAAGCATCTCTCAGCGTATCACACGCAGAAGAGGAAAAGGTAGCATCTCTCAGCGTATCACATGCAAGAGAGGAAATAAAGCATCTCTCAATGTATCACACACAGGAGAGGAAAGAAAGCATCTCTCAGCATATCACATGCAGGAGAGAAAAAGGTAGCATCTCTCAGCGTATCACACGCAAGAGAGAAAAAAGGGCATCTCTTAGCGTATCACACGCAAGAGAGGAAAATGTAGCATCTCTCAGCGTATCACACGCAAGAGAGGAAAAAGTAGTAGTGCTAGCACTGAGGAGTTGCATAAACATCGGAGTGAGTCCCAATGCTTCTAACAAGGGTATAGCGTAAACACCGAGCGCACCCAGGTGTTCCTAACTAAAACAAAGCAAACTCAAAGGGCAGGAAAGGTCTTACCTGGAATTCCTCTGAATGAAACGTACACACAGTACCTTCTGGTTGTACTAGCCTCAAATGAACTGTACATATAATATCGTGCCTGCATAAGAAAGAAACTCAATAGGTACAATATAGTAGCTGTCATGACCCGAAACCGCCCCTCTGGGTTAAGGCCATAACCGGCCAGTAATCACGAGATTACCTGCGGCCTCAAACCAAATAAGACAAAACGCATCAGAGTAAAAGGGACCAAACGGAAGCAATTTTAAAACTTTGTCCATAGAGCCGTGCTTATATGCACATCATAACATTCCAGACATACATATGTTAATAACTCACAACAGAAAGTATAGTAACATAAGTACTGTACAGACAGGATCATTCAAATTTAAGTCAGCCAAGCAAAACTACATACAAACGTATTCAAAACTTCGCCAACCTGACAAAATGTAAATACATGAAAAAAGGGCGAAGACGGGTCTCGTGCGTGAGACACAAGGGCTGACTCTCTCAAAACCTTAGTTGTTCCATACAGACTTCACTGAGGCTGGGTCTGGACTTCTCTTGGCTCACCTACAAACACATGAATGAGCGTGAGCGAAAGCCCAGTGAATAATATCAAATCAAATACAGAAGTTACATAACAATGTAGAACAACATGTTCCAAACGGCCTTGGGCCCAATTCATATTTCTATTTAACAAATATATGTATAACTATACGAAATTCAAATCTAGTGACTGTAGTTCCAAACATTCTGGCCTTTGGCCCATTCAGATTTCCATTCATGTCAAAACGGCCTTCGGCCCATTCATTTATGTGAAAACGGCCTTCGACCCATTCATTTTTGTCAAAACAGCCTTCGGCCCATTCGTTTACGTCAAAACAGCCTTCGGCCCATACATTCGTATCAAAACGGCCTTCGACTCACTCATTCATGTCAAAACGACCTTAGGTCCATTCGTATATGTCAAAACGACCTTCGGTCCACTCATTTCTATCAAAACGACCTTCAGTCCATTCATTTCTATCACAACGACCTTCGGTCCATTTGTTTACATCAAAACGGCCTTCGGTCCATTCGTTTACGTCAAAACGGCCTTCGGCCCATACATTCGTGTCAAAACGGCCTTCGGCCCATTCGTTTACGTCCAAAAACGGCCTTCGGCCCATACATTCGTGTCAAAACGGCCTTCGGCTCACTCATTCATGTCAAAACAACCTTAGGTCCATTTATTTCTATCAAAACGACCTTAGGTCCATTTATTCATATCGAAACGACCTTCGGTCCATTCATTCGTTCATGTCAGACTTTTGTCCACAATCCCAATTAGCAACTCATAAAGCTTATAAGGGAATAAACAGTTGGACATTGCTAAGCTTTCAAATATCGATATTACTCACAGTGATCGGCTTGTGGATTTGTCCTGGAGCTTGACCCTACACATTTCATGAACACAAAAGGGGTCACTAACAGTTCAATTCGTTCCTTAATTCACATATTCCTCTTTAGGCCTTATTCTTATCTCTTTAACTCATTTACAATGCTTAACACATGCCTAAGAGTGCTTGCAAGTGAAAGAGAACAGAAACGAAACACAGAATGCGAAAATAAAATTTCAGAAAACAGGGTCCCCGCTCGAGCATAGACTTACACACTCGAGCGGACCCTTAAGGCCCGCAAAAGTACTGGTTGCATCAAAAATACGCTCGAGCGTGAAATAGGGCGCTCGAGCGGAAGGCCTGTCTACGTAACTCACCCCCACTCGAGCGTGAACTAACCCGCTTGAGCGGACACCAAGTTTGCAAAAAGTACTGGGAGCACGTTTTTCCCGCTCGAGCGGCACTTCCCTCGCTCGAGCGAACATCAAAATTCTGGGTTTTCCAGATTGTGTTCTTGAGCTCTATTTCGACCTTCAAGCCAACATTTCTTGCATGCAATGGCTCAAATCTCAAATATAATTACACTAACATGGTATAAACCCCAAATTACAATCCAATGAAGCTCAATTTCACAAATAAATCACATGCATGCCCCAATCTCCCATCAAACTCACTCTAACATAATAATTTCATGCATTCAAGGTTCCCCTTTTTAATAACCAACATGCATGCCCATATCAACCCTCAATTTCAACAAAACTAACTCAATCATGCTCTTGATTACAAACAAACCTTGAACACACAAGATTACAAATTCAAACGTTTGAATTCAAGGTCAATTACTTACCTAGAGGCTCAATTCTTCCAATCTATGGCAATTTCTTGAAAACATGCTTGCATGTGGGATTACACTTTTAATCTTTCATAATTTACAATTCACATGCTAGATTTTGTGATTCCATAGGTGTTCTTTACATGCATGCACATATCAACCCTCAATTTCAACAAAACTAACTCAATCATGCTCTTGATTACAAACAAACCTTGAACACACAAGATTACAAATTCAAACGTTTGAATTCAAGGTCAATTACTTACCTAGAGGCTCAATTCTTCCAATCTATGGCAATTTCTTGAGTGTAGCTTCAAATGACTCAAGCTTTGGGATCAAAACCCCAATTTTCTTCACCCTCTCTCTCTTATCCAACCCTCTCCTCTCTCTTGAGTTCAAAATCAGCCAAAATGTAAAAAGGTGAGGAATTGAGGTGTAATGGCCCTTATATAAAGCCCCACCAATTCCAATATAATAACAATAAAGTAATTGGGCACTAATTCAATAATTGAATCGATTTAATCTGATCCGAATCAATTTCCAATTAAATTTCACCGTAGGCTCTAAAAATTACGCTAATCACAATGGCGCAATCAATTTCGGGTTCTGTGGCCGATAAGGCCTTCAATTTAATTTCCGAAGCAGGTAGTCAAACAGATATTCCTACGGTGAACAGATAGAAATTCAAAACCACATATTTTCACTTAATGGCACACAAAATCGTATCAAACACATAATCATATACGTATTAAGGCCCAATTAGCATAATACAGAACAGGGGTATTCCAGTAGCAACATACGTTTAACTCACATTCCAATATGAAATCAACGCGTGCATACACAATGCAAGTGAAAAGTGCGTTGCGACGCAAGTGAAAAGTGCATGATAATGCAACAAGTGTGTGCGACAACGTAAGTAAGGTGTGCATGACAATGCAACAAGTGGTGACATATGCTCCATGCAATACTATGGTGCATATTCTATGCAAGAGGGAGAAATGCATATTCTATGCAAAACAATACGACATGCATATGCTATGTAAGTGTGACGATGCATATTCTAAGTGACAACACAACACGCATGTTCCATGCAACGACATAGGGATGCCATGTTCAATGTAAGCATGGTAAAGGCATGCTATTCACAATGTTGAGATGCAACTTCAAAACGAGATGAGGCATGCTCGATGTAAGAGTGAAAAGGCGTAAAACAAATGCGCACCTTGCAAACATGGCAAAACACTGTAATGCAACATATTCAAAGTAATTTTCGAATCTTGCAATATACAAAAGGACACGAAAAATGATACACCTCGTGCGTATTGAGTGTCGCACACGGAGGACACGGTTCGAGGTCACCACGGAGGCCGCTTAAGCTTCAAAAGTGTATTTTCTTGATTTCCACTACTTGGGGTTTGTTTCCCCCAAGTTCCCCTTGGTTTCCGTGCCTTCTCCCACACTTCGACCTTTTCTTCCATTTTTTGCCCCTCGAGGTTGACTTTTGGTTGACTTTTGGCGTTCTTGCCCTTTTTTCGTACCCTTGGCCATTTTCTCACTCTTCTCAACATGGCAGACGATATTTCACAGGGTGGGGCTCCTCCGGAGATGGATATGGATCCCGAGGTCGAGCTTTTGCCGCTCAGCGTTCGACCCGGCGACAAACCGGCCAGCGATACATGTGTTGCCTCCCGACAGCATTCGCCAGTTCAGGAGCTTTGCTCGAGGTACACCATTGGAGCTCTTGTTACGCGAGCTGGAGTCGCACCTTTCTTATGGCGCCGTTGAGGTATACCCTTCCTCTTTACTTTCTGCAATGTAGGTCGTATATCTTGGACAGTTGATACTGCCCTTTATCTGATCATCACAAACACATTTGTAGATCACATGCTTAGTTCACCCTGAGCACATTCATACATGATATCTGCACCAACTCGAACACATGCACGCACACTGTATTTTTATCAATTCTGAACGCATTCAAACACTGTATCTCTGACACTGCTTCGCATCTGTTTGTCTTAAACATAGGGAGATTCCCATGCCTTCCAGGGGTATAGGAATACCATCACCCGGGGTTGGTACATGGAGTTGCCTGATGAGGTCTGCCAGATCATCGACGAGGCCGGCTTCGGCATTTTCTACATGGGACTCTCGCCTCACTGCGAGTAGGCCCCTTTTAGGCGCGCTGGTGGAAAGGTGGTGGGCCACCACCGATTCCTTCCACCTTTTCACAGCGGGGGAGATGACGATGACTCCCTTCGACTTTTCCATGCTCACTGGCATCGGAATCCGATCCCCTTTGACACCGACATGAGCAAGTGGGATGCTGCCCAGATGTTCTTGCTCAGCGCTCGGCCACCCCTCTCCTGGCCAGGGTTTGTGAGCTACTCGTGGTTCGAGGACCAGTTAAGGGTACAGGCACCAACGACCCGCGAGGAGGTCGAGCAGTATGTCCGAGGGTTCCTCATGTTTTTGTTGGGCACCACTCTTTTCGCCGACTGGGCGAACACAATTGGACTCTATCTACTGAGCACACTGGTGGACGTGACCCGGATCCGGCGCTATGATTGGAATGGCGCAGGCCTAGCCACATTGTACGGGTACATGAGTTCCTCATCTCGCCGCAGTGGACATCTGCTAGGAGGCTACTGGCAAGCCTGGGAGGTACACCTTCCTTTTCTGTTTTACAGTTCTACATTACATTATCTGTACACCACACACACTGCATACACGCAATCTGCTTTACACTGGCTGCACACTGCACATATTGCACAATACATTGCACACCATTCTCTGATTTCTGCTTCATCTGCATACTATTTTTACTGATAAAACATACTCATTCTTACCCTGTTACATTCTGTAGTTGTGGGTGTATGCCTACTTTCCCAGGCTTGCTCCGGAGCCGGAGGTGGAGATGCCCCTCGTTGTCTCATATTCTCATCGATACAATGTGAGGTGCGAGCGGAGGCCGCGGGAGTCTTTCTTGTTCTTCCGCAAATACTTTGATACCATAGCTGTAGCAAAGGTATTTCAAAACTTACAGTTCATTTAAGCTTCGCTTTACATTGTACTTTCAATAGCAGATAACAAACTGTATATCCTGCCATTTGTAGATCGCGTGGCAGCCCTGGGCCGTGTTGCCTGATGCAGTTAGAGACCAGTACATGGGTGCTTGGGAGACTGCCCGATTCTGAGTCTTGCTGAAGGGTCCGGTCTGCCGGGCTTGGTACTTGGAAGAGCGCTTCCTACATCAGACCCTTGGTTTACTTGAGCAAATAGTCCCGAGGCCACCTCCCGCCCATATAAGGCATACAGAGAGGTACACCCGGCAGGAGATGACCGATTTCACGATCGGTTGGGACGCTGACTTTTTTTAAGATAAGGGCGACTACACCGTCTTTATCGAGACTCATCTTATGCGACCTCTGGCCAGTGCTCGCCGAGTTGAGAGGGAGAAGCCTGCAGCCCCAGTAGGAGGAGCAGGAGCACCGAGGGCAACTCAGGCCCGTGACAAGAGTGGTTCCCGGAGGGGATGGAGAGCAGAGTGGCAAGAGCTGCCCACTACCATGACATGCCGAGCACAGGGTGGAGAGCCTTATCAGATTCCGATCGCTCCTCCCCCGGCTGATCATGAGCTCGTTGGAGTTCGTGGCTTGACCTCGGTACGTGCTATACTTTTCATTATGTACAGTCATTTCATTTCAGTTGATATCCCGCAGATTACTAATGACTTCAACACTTTTGCAGGCTTCTATCGAGTACACTGGGCAGGCCCTGGAGCTGACGGCTTCGGTGATGGGGATGCTGCAGGGGAGCATGGACCTACTGAGTATCTACAGTATTCCGGTAAGTTCTTTCAACCTCAGTCTCAAGACCTTGCATAATCTGTTCCATACTGATTTGATGTATCACATTATCAATACGGCACTTGATACACTGCACTCACATACCACTCACGGCACTGATACACTGTAACTCATATACTGCTCACAGCATTCATTCTCTATAATCATACATTGCTCACGGCATTCATACACTATAATCATACACTGCTCATGGCATTCATACACTGTACTCATACATTGTATTCGATACCATACTCGACTTCGCATAGCATAACTGATACATCTGCCAAATGTTCTTTTCAGGCCCCATTCTAGATACCGGCAGCAGCGAGTGCCTCAGCGGGACCTTCAGTGCCTCCCAGAGCAGCAGGGGGAGCCGGACGAGGGATGTCGATACACAGCCGAGGCAGACATAGGTGTACTCGTATCGAGAGCAGTTCGCGGGAGCCCGCCCCAGATGATGATGAGTCCGATGTAGAGGTAGAGTCGTCTCAGGGTGAGGGTAGAGATGGCTCGGGCTCAGACTTTGGCAGTAGAGCCGATGGTGACGATCCTGGACCTTCGTCCAGGAAGAGGACGAGGAGAGACTCCCGCACTTGAGGCGACCAACGCCGATCCAGATGCTGTTCTTTTTTTGCTTTTATTTTCCTTTTTATTAGTAGTTTTTGCACATTGTACTGCGTCAGGCAGATTTTATTTTCCTTAAAACTTTGTACTCTTTTTGCAAAAGAAAACATGATGGAATGAAACAGCTCTTTTGTTGAAAAAGTGTTACATTTTTACATTCTAAGCATCGCATCGCATTGCATAACAATGTAAATGAGATTGAACTTTGTTTGAAAACTGCACACTCGAGATTGCATTGCCTTAATCAGGTAGTGAACCAACTGACAACAAACAAAACAACTCGATAAGCAAAACCAGGACTTGACATGCTAACCAAAACGTGGATACAACTCGACAACCAAGACAAGAACTTAATAATCAAAACAAAATACAACTCAATAAACAAATTGAAATAACACAGGAACGACTTCACAAAATTGTCACCGAAAGGCATTTGAAGTGGAACAAGCCTCAAATTCTTAACGTCTCCAACACATAGACAGCTCAGAGAACAAGAGGAAAGGCCATCGGCCAAGGTGAGAGGCCATCGGCCACAAGAAATAACCATTGGCCATAATTACTAGCCGATCGGCTAAAAAGATGGTCGGTCAGCACTATTTTTGGTCGATCGGCCAAAAAATGGCAAGAATCTCCATAATGCTGCCACTTGTCTTCCACTCAACATCTTATCTTTTACAAAAGTCCTAGCTTCGTAGTTTCTCCATTTCAACTCAGTTTTTGTACCAAATGGAGGCATTTCTTGTCCAAAATCTCACAAATTGGATTGCCAACTTGGATGGCTCGGAAAAGCTGAATTTCTGGGGCTTCAGAATAAATGCACTATTCACACTGAGCCGCACCCTGCTGCGTTTTCCGTTCCTTCATGCCGCGACAAGGTATTGGAATCCGATTATGCACGTTTTTAGCTTTGGTGGATAAGAGTTGTGTCTCACTTTCGAAGACTTCCAAGCTTTGAAGGAGTCCAAGCGCGGGGAAGAGGTTTTGCCACAATTCCGCTTCGGCCACATCCAAGCCTTAGGACGGATGTGCGGGCTCACTATGCACGACACTCGGTCTTTGATCCGGGACGGGGAATTGGACATCCCCAGCTTGGTTCATCGGTTTTCTGATGTCGGTAACCACGGCGACCATCATTGGCAGGGTTTTCGGCGACATGCGCTTTGCTTGTGCGTGCTGTCTCATTTCTTGCTTGCCTCAGGCTTCGGAGGGTCTAGCGTCCGTTTCATCGAAGTTGCCCAAGGCTTAAAAGAGGGCAAGAGCTGCATTGCCATGACATTGGCTGAGACATTGATGGACTTGGATGCTTTTCATCGCCGAGAGATGACTACATTCGCGGGGAGTCCACTACTGCTGCAGGTAATGTTTCCCACTCTATCTCACATATATTTCTCACATCACTCAGCCCTCAGGCTCGGTTTTTCTCTCAAAACCCTTTTCTTACTTTTCTCTCCACGTGCACCTCTCTATTCTTTAATCTCTCATTTTTCATCCCTCCCCAGATATGGTTGATGGATAAATTGAAGGTTGTGGACTCATGTCTAGCATATTTAGCTCGCGGCTATTTCTTCTGGTGACATCTAGGCGATGTCCCTGACGAGGGATGGTGGTACGAATGGATGTACAGTCTATCCGCTACCAGTATTGCTTGGCACTGCCCTTGGCTCAATCTGCCGACAATGAGTTACAGCATGTCTGGCCAACCCGGGATTCAGTTGATCGGCCTGACTCACTGTGTCTTTTACTTCCCATTCCGATTCTGACGCCAATTCAAACATGATCAGACTTGCCCGGAAGAGGGGATAGAGTACCCTGCTACATTTCCGGTCTGAGGCGCGCCGCTAACTCGGTATGCCACAGCATGGAGGACGAGAGAGCTTCTGGGCCCTGCTCCCACTTTCAGTTGCACCCTCTCTGATGAATGCATAGCTCGGCTTGATGAAGAGGCACAAGTTGGGCCTACTTTGGCATCAAAGGCTTCCACAAGCTCTGGGAAGGGACGTAGGAACACCTGACTATGTCCCGAATTTATTGCTTTATCAGAACTTTCAAGTTTTCTTTTATGAATGTAATAAAAAGCAACTTCAATTTGTATTTAAGAGTAGGAGAGCCCTATACTAAAATCAATGTAATTGAAGGTTGTGGGTACTGAAAATTTTCTGTTTGGCCCAAACATGGTCTAAGTTGTAAAAAGATTAATTTGAGCAAAATCAACTTTTATTAAAACTTTTCAAAACCATTTTCGATATGGATCACAACTGGATACGCCCGAGATCTATCACTGAGATATACAACCCTGGATCCTCAGCAACTAGAAAGTTGCCCCTAGTCTGAATAGCACTGCACTGGAGATCACAACCGTGCTCTTGGATGCAGAATAGACCAAGATGACCCAACATGATCACATGGACAAAGTTGATCGGGGAAGTGTTTATGGCTGGACTTCAGAATGAAGTTGCCTACGTATCCCAAAGATGGAAATCAAGCCTTACGTAGTTCGGCTTGGGTTCACTCGTGTATTAACACTCTCTTTTTACGCTCTAACTTTTGCCAAGGCCGCCCTTTCTAGGTTTTCAACCTTGCAAGCTCAGTTTTCATTATTTTAAATTTTTCATGCTCTAACTTTTGCCTAGGTCGCCCTTTTGGATTTTCGGCCTAGCGAGCCACTCAGGGATAGTATTTCTTCAACTTGTCCATGTTGATCGGCTGGGAGAACTCTAGGCCATCTAGGTCCATTAGAACGACAGCTCCACCCGACCAGATAGACTTGATGATGTAAGGGCCAGTCCAATTGGGTCTGAACTTATCCCTAGGGTCGTGGATGGGAGCTCGGTTGTCTTTGAGCACAAGATCCCTTTCTTTCAAATTCCTGGACTTAACCTTCTTGTTAAAAGCCCTTGCAATTCTTCGTTGACAACCTTGGACGTGATACAATGCTTTCAGCCTTCTTTCATCAAAGAGTATGAGTTCGTCGAACCTGCTTTGCTGCCAATTTGCCTCAGTTATCTAACACTCAGCCAGTACCCGTAATGACGGAACCTTAACTTCGATGGGTAGAACAACCTCCATTCCATAAACCAAGGAATACGGAGTTGCCCCAGTAGAAGTTCGAATTGAAGTCCAGTAGCCCCAAAAAGCAAATGACAGCTTATCTGGCCAGTCCCGGTAGGTTTCAACCATCTTCTGCAATATGTGCTTGATGTTTTTGTTGGCGGCCTCAACTGCTCCATTGGTTTGTGTGACAACCCTCGCCACTGTTTACCGATATACCTCTGATTACTGCTAAACTGTGGTTAAGCATGTTAAGTAACTGATCTAACTGAAATTCTGAACTGATTGATTGAGTGTATTAATTTAAATGCAAATCTATCTATTTGACTCCTAAATGATCTGTTCATGTTTTAAGTGTCGAACTGTGAATTGAAGGCCTTATCGGCTGCCGAATCTGAAATTGATTAGTGTTTCATATTAATTAGAATTTATATGATTTTATGGTAGATTTAATTAAAATTGATTTGAAATGATTAAATTAGATTAAATATTGTTGAATTACATTAGTTGCATTATTTACCGAAATGCCATCTAGCGGGCCACTTTTATTCTTGAGGCTTGAACTACACACTTAGACACAACATTTCTTCAGCCCTTTTCTTGAGCCTAAACCGTGTGAGAGGAAGAGTGAGAGAAATTGGTTTCAACTAGGAATTCTTACTTGAACTTGGAAGATTTGAAGGTTGATTACATATTTGAGCTTCTAGACTTGAAATTGAAGACCTAAGGTAGGAGAATCATCTTCTTGAACTTGAATTCTAGTTGTATCTTGCATGGTCCATGAGCCATTAGTGATCTAAGTCTAAAATTGGTTTTAAATTGTTGAATTGAAGCTTGAATCATGCATGCATGTTTACATTCTTGAATTTTGAGGTTGTTTTCATAGTATCCTCACACGCATGTCTATATTCTAGCTATGGTCCATGAATTCATCATGTTTTTGAGTGAATTGACTCATTTGATTTTGTATTGGAAGCTTTAATTTCAATTGAACACTTGCATGTTACATATACATTATGTTCATGAAGTTTTGTTTGGATTTATGTTTAATTGAACTACCATTGGGCTTTGATTTTGCAAATTGATCTTTGAAACATGTCATATTATGAGTTTTAAAGTGTTTTTCAGAAAATTGGCCCAAAAGAATCGAATTTGACGCTTTAAATGTTGAATTTGAGCTTGGAGATTCAATTTGGAAATTCCAGATTTTGGACCCACGCTCGAGCATAAGACTTCACACTCGAGCGTACACTCTGAGTACATGCAGTCCGCTCGAGCATGGAAAGTAATGCTCGAGCGTGAAATGCATGTATCCAGTACTTTGCATGTGTTTACAGTCCGCTCGAGCGAGGGAATGCACGCTCGAGCGAGGACTTGTGTGTCACGCTCGAGCGGGGGTCGAGCGCCCGTCGAGTGTGAATTTCATGCATCCAGTACTTTTGCAGTCCGCTCGAGCGAGGAAAGTCACGCTCGAGCCTAGCTCTTTTGTCTGCATGTCCGCTCGAGCGGAGAAATCCACGCTCGAGCGAGACCCCTATTTTTCTAAAAATTCTGAAAAGTGTTTTAAAGTACGTCTTTGCATCCTCACATCATCCTAGGCATTCCTAGGCCTAGTTTAAGGCATCTTAATGAGGTTATTGATGTAGAACCACACCGAGTCAAGATAGGGATTAAGTCATTGATTTCCAAGTGTGTAACTTAGTGTGTGTTCGTTCTGTAACTGTGTAGGGTTGGCATCCGAGGACGCTCACTAGCTGCTATTAGCCTAGTGCTCTGTGAGTAACAATGTTGTAAAGATATGTTTAATCATGAATATTTTCTGAATGATCAACTGTACTGCTTTCTGAAATGATATTTCTTACTGAATGAATGTTTGTCCTATTTGTAAACTGTATCCGTGGCATCCATAGCAATTTACTGTTACTGCACTATTACTGCTAATGTCACAGAGATCTCTGTCAGTTCCCATGTTTGGAACCACTACTGTTTACTGTTATGATG